TGTGTGTTAGTGTGTGTGAATCTTGTATCCGGATCTTCATTCATATAAATACATACAAGATTCATCATCATCTTCTTCTCATTCTCTTCTATTTGATCTGACATCATCCGTTTGATTGAGATTCCGCACCATCAAACGAATCTGATTGATACACAAGCAGATTAGGGACTAACAAACCTAGAAATTCAAAAGTTGTTACACCAAGAAGCAGGGGCGGACGCAAGATTTCACAGTAGGGGTTGCACAGGAAAGTCAGAGGTTGCACGGTAGTAGAAAAAATAAAATTTTCGAAAATTTTCCACTGCGGCCGGAAAAGTTAGGGGTTGCTAGTGCCACCATGGACCCCCTAGGTCTGCCCCTGCCAAGGAGAGATAGAGAAAGAGACGAGAGATATTTTAGTGTTAATATTCTTTGATTAAACCTCAAACAAGGTTGAATTTGAACTTCAAATGAAGAAATCGAAGATGGTGATGTTGATGTTGATAAGTATTTATATGAATTTTGATTCGTGATGTACCTCAAATTAAACCTCAAAAACCTTAGGTGAAGAAATCGAAATCAATATCCACTCATCGCCTATTGATCATCCGCTTGATCATCCGCTGACAGTAGCTGTGGTTTTCCTAGGGGTGACAATTAATGACACGAAACAAAACTAGGATGAATCTGAAATCCGAATTCGTGTTCGTGTCAAGTTTAAAAAAACACGATGTCGTGTCATGTCGTGTCGTGTTCGTGTTCAAATTTCGACACGAAATTGACATGATTTAGCAATTGTTTGTCGTGTTTTTCGGGTTTCTCGTGTTATGTATGATTAAACATTACTTAAGTAAACTAATTGGTATTTTATGTTATCATTGTGGTGTCGTGTTGTATTTATCGTTTTTCAATTGATTCGTTTTGCGTGTTAGTTAAAAAAACACGACATCGGGTCGTGTTTGTGTTACATAAAACATTGTCATGTTGTGTTGTGTCAGACAAAAACACGACACGAGTGTCCGATTTGCCACCCCTAGGTTTTCGGATGGTAATGAAATGAGATTTCGAACACGATTGTCCATGGTGATGGTGATGAAACATGATTTTGAACAAGATGGCTCTATTAACAGGATTATGTCCACATTCATATGATGACTTCACGATAGGTTGATGTGCCGCCGGCTTTAATGACGTGGTTTACCAAAAAGGGTCGTCGGTGGTGATGCTCTTTGGAACGATGAAAAGTTCAAGGGAGGGGGAGAAATTGAGTAGCACGAAGCTTGAATCTTGATTTTAGGTTATAAGTATTTATTGATTTTGATTTTAGTTTTTATTTTTATTTTTTAAATTTATATTATAATTATAATAATAAATAATAATAATAAAATTTATAATAAAGGCAATATGATAATTTTCCATTTGAAAGGGATAGAAACAAAACAAAAACATATCATAAAAAATTTCTGAATAAATAAAAGAGTTAGAAATACAACAATAATGCAAAAAATGCATTTATTTAAGCATGTTATAGTTTACCTTTTATATTTCATTTTTTTTTGGGTGTTTCTTTGCCTGTCTAAATAAATATAATACCATTGTATTTAAAAATATCCGTTTCTATTTAATTTTTATTTTGAGAAGCATCTTATCAAAATAAACTTTAAATATTGATTTTAGTTATCAAAAATTGATTTTTATTCTAAATAGGCATGTCATATATTTATCATAAACTAATCATATTGTTATCAAATAAACAATCGTTTAAATTATTCTTTGTACACGAGAGTCACGATGTGTAGGACGGATAATTGTCAGTTTGTCACATATGCCGCGTCACCATAAAATAATTGAAGTCTAATTTATAAAGCAGATTAGATTGCAGGGTGGGTGTCATGACTCAGTTGGACTTGGGGGCCTCTAAACGATTGCCCGGTCACAATCTTTCACTGATTGCCGTCTCCATTCTCTCATTACATTTCTTCAGTATGTTTCGGACCACATCCTCTCAATTATCTTACCAGATTTCCGCAATTTTCTGTATATAATTTTTCATGTAGATGATAAGAATTTTGATTATCATATTTGAGCTACTGTATAACTTGTTATATGCTAATTTTACTTTGAATTTCTGTTGATGCAGAGGCTTTTTGATCGGATTCAACTGTAGCCAAGTTATTTCAGTTCAGATTCTTCCTTTCGCAGATAAGCAGGTTTGAATCGCACGTACTAATTATATATTCCGATTCGCAAAATTGTATCTCCATTACAAATTGCGGTGAATTTTGTTGACGCGATATATGTTCAGATCTGAAACACTGTATCACTTGCCTTTTAAAAATTACGTTGATGCAAATATAATCCGATTTGCAACACCGTATCACTCGATCTTTACAAATTACGGTGAATTTCGTTGATGTGGGGGGTTTTTGATTCGATTCGACTACTTTTAAGTTACTTCAGTTGATATTTGTGTAAACAAGTTATTTTCAAGTTACAGTCAGTTTCGTGGATAATTTTTTTTTTGATTCGATTAGACTATATTCGAATTACTTCAATTCATGTTTGTTTAAACAGTTTATTTTCAACTTACGGTCAATCTCGTTGTTTCTAGCTTTTTTTTAGTTAATTAGGCATTTAGGCTATGTCAAGTCGCTTCAATTCATATTTGTGTAAAAATGTTACTGAATCGTGTTGTAACGTATGCTGCAGGATACATAATGGCTCAGATACTGCTCCATGGCACTCTTCATGTGACAATCTACGAAGTTGATAAGCTTCATTCGAGTGGTGGCGGAAATATATTCAAAAAGGTATGCATATACCTATACCCCATGTCTTTTCATTGAGAAGATCCAACTTCCAATTTCATTCTATCGATTAAACATTTGTTCCTTTTTTCAAAAAGGCAAAAAGTTTAGCAATTGACTTTTTGATCTCATTGGAGTTGTTTCTTATGGCAGTTGGTGGCTAACATAGAGGAGACTGTTGGATTTGGGAAAGGAACTGCCAAAATTTATGCAACAATCGATCTAGAAAAAGCCAGAGTTGGAAGGACTAGGAAGATTGAGAATGAGGTCGAGAACCCAAGGTGGTATGAGTCCTTCCACATTTACTGTGCTCATCTTGCTTCTGATGTTATATTCACTGTCAAAGATGATAATCCCATTGGTGCAACATTACTCGGAAGAGCTTATGTCCCTGTTCGAGATCTCTTAGAAGGGGAAGAATTAGACAGATGGGTTGAAATCCTGGATACTAACAAAAATCCCATAAGTGCGGGTTCCAAAATCCATGTGAAACTACAGTTTTTTGATGTCACTCAAGACCGAAATTGGAATGTCGGGGTCAAAAGCGGAAAATACCCCGGAGTCCCTTACACATTCTTCACTCAAAGACAAGGATGCCGTGTTTCTTTATACCAAGACGCCCATGTCCCCGACAATTTCATCCCCGAAATACCCCTCGCTGGTGGAAAAAATTACGAACCACACAGATGTTGGGAAGATGTGTTTGATGCCATCACAAATGCAAAACACTTCATTTATATCACCGGGTGGTCTGTTTACACCGGGATTACTTTGATAAGAGATACAAGAAGGCAAAAGGCGGGAGGTGATATCACGCTTGGTGAGCTTCTAAAAACCAAAGCAAGTGAAGGTGTTCGTGTTCTTATGCTTGTTTGGGACGATAGAACTTCTGTAGATGTTTTCAAAAAAGACGGATTAATGGCGACTCACGATGAAGATACTGAAAACTACTTCCGGGGTAGCGAAGTCCATTGTGTTTTATGCCCTCGGAATCCCGATGATGGTGGAAGCTTCATTCAAGACCTCCAAATCTCCACCATGTTCACTCACCACCAGAAAATTCTTGTGGTGGATTCTGCAATGCCGACTCCGGAATCACAAAACCGGAGAGTTGTAAGCTTTGTTGGCGGAATCGATCTTTGCGACGGGCGATACGATTCCCCATTCCATTCCCTTTTCCGAACTTTGGACACCGCCCACCACGACGATTTCCACCAACCTAACTACCCCGGTGCTACGATAACAAAAGGTGGACCCCGCGAGCCGTGGCACGACATACATTCGCGACTCGAAGGACCGGTTGCGTGGGACGTGTTATTTAACTTCGAACAAAGGTGGAAAAAACAAGGCGGGAAGGACGTTTTGGTCAATTTACGAGAATTGGACGAAATTACCCCTCCGTCTCCGATCATGTTCCCGGATGACCAAGAGACATGGAACGTTCAGGTTTTCCGGTCAATCGACGGTGGAGCCGCTTTTGGGTTCCCGGACACACCGGAAGAGGCGGCGAAAGCCGGTCTAGTCAGTGGAAAGGACAACATCATTGACCGAAGTATACAAGACGCGTATATTCACGCTATCCGAAGAGCCAAACGCTTCATCTATATAGAAAACCAGTATTTCCTAGGAAGCTCATACGGGTGGGAACCCGATGGCATTAAAGGAGAAGATGTTGGTGCTTTACATTTAATCCCGAAAGAACTTTCGTTGAAAATAACGACTAAAATTGAGGCGGGTGAAAAGTTTACGGTTTATGTTGTGGTCCCGATGTGGCCGGAAGGGATACCGGAAAGTGCTTCGGTTCAAGCTATATTGGATTGGCAAAGGAGGACTATGGATATGATGTATAAAGATATTATTCAGGCTCTTCAGGTTCAGGGGCTTGAAGAAGACCCGAGAGATTATCTTACGTTTTTTTGCCTTGGGAATCGTGAGATGAAACAGGAGGGTGAATATGTACCCTCGGAATCGCCAGACCCGGATACGGATTACTTGAAAGCTCAGGAGGCTCGGAGGTTCATGATCTATGTTCATGCCAAAATGATGATCGGTATAATATCATAATAACTCGAGTAAATTACAATTTTGTTTCGTGAGTTTAGATGATTTTTTCGGTTTTGGTTTTTAAAGGAGTCACAATTTGCAATTTTGGTCCCTAAATCATTAATTCTAAGTTTCTAACTGCTTAGTTGTTTATCAATTAAAAATGACCATCTTTCACTTGGACCACCGGATCAAAGTCATTATGAAACATCAAAATGGCCTGAGATTATTTTTCCCTTGGACCACCTGACCATTTTGTCCTTGTGGTACAGGGCAAAATGGTCATTTTAAATTAATTAACAAACGAGTAGTTAGATATTATGATTCAGGGACCAAAATCATTATGAAACATCAAAATAAAGACCAAATTGCAAACCAAAACCCAAAAAATAATTTGAACTCTACCAAAAATGTAATATACCAGTATAATATTTTTTTCTTCAATGGTCGTTTAAAAAAGTTAACAGTTGAATAGGTAGATCTAACTATTGAGGGACCAAAATTACAAACTTGCTTAAGCAAAGCCAAAACAATCATCTAAATTCAGGGTCCAAAAATGTAAAATCCAGTCTAACAACTTTCTTCTTCAATCTTCACTTGTGTGTTGCAGTGGATGACGAATACATTATCATCGGATCAGCAAACATAAACCAGCGATCCATGGACGGTGCTCGGGATACCGAGATAGCAATGGGAGCCTACCAGCCTTTCCATTTATCGACCCGTGAACCAGCAAGGGGTCAGATATATGGGTTTCGTATGGCTTTATGGTACGAACACATGGGGATGCTTGATGAAAGCTTCCAGAACCCAGAAAACATAAACTGTGTGAAAAAGGTTAATCAGATTGCTGAGAAATATTGGGATTTGTTTGCAAGTGAGAATCTTGAACAGGATTTGCCAGGTCATTTGTTGCGATACCCGATTGGGGTTGATAGTGAAGGTAATGTTACGGAATTGCCAGGAACGGAGTTTTTTCCGGATACTAAGGCTCGTGTTCTTGGTGCCAAATCTGATTACCTTCCTCCAATTCTTACAGCCTGAGAATTTTATGGTTGGTATATAATAATAATAATAAGGTATGTTTGCTTTGGATGTGGTTAAATGAGGGAAGACTTGGGTTTTCTAGTGGTTTGTATTGTCTTTTACTTGTTTTCCCTAACTATGACTTTTAGTTGATGCAACTTCTAATATCTTTGTGATTCCTGTTATATGTATAATGTATGTTAAGTGAGATATATATGCTTTTATCTATAAAAGGAATCTCATAACATATATATTTTTCATACATACATGTTACAACATAAATCCCAATAGGGCCCCAAACTGTCGTTTGAACCTTGCAAACACTCGTGTGATGGGTATGTGGATTGACCACATGATATCTACCGATAATCCGTCATTGTGGTGAGGTTCAAAAATGGGTATGATGAAGACTTATAACTGTACTCACTACTCAGTATGTTCATAAACTGAGTATGACTAAATCATCATGTTATGTTTATGGATTGTGATGATTATATTATGTCTAACCCTGTGTAACTCATCAAACTTCATAGATTAATGTACTATTATGACACGTGACACATGTGATAAGAACGTTTACGAACATGAGGAGTTGATGCTTAGTGTAAGATTTGGAAGATGATACTTAATTGGAACATCCCTCCTACTTAATTTTAAACAAAGGATTTTGTGAGATGTTGCTTAATATTTTATCTATAATTTAACTGATATTTTAAATTAACCATAAGTGAGATGTTGCATTGCCACTCGACATAATGTCATCAACAAAAAGGTATATACCAATGCACCTTTTCTTGAATCTCATGAGAAATATCTCTTCAAAATCAAAACGCAAAGATTTTATCCATGATGTAACCCGATCTCCATATAGAATGACTATGTGTTGACCAACTGGAGTTCGAGCGTAGGTCGTAGACCTACAATAGCCCTCATATATTCCGAAAACATGTCTAGCTTCTGTATTCCTCCATATAGTCTCTTGAGGAATGCTATATATGTATTCTCTAAGCCGATGAATACCATCCGAAAATCCTCCACAAGGTGCCGAACATGAAGCTGATATGATTGAAGCGTACAATATGTTTTCTAATGTCTCGCCGATTTCGATGTTCTCTGACTTCACCGCGAACCGGAGGGCGGTGCGATGATTGTGCACGTTTTGACATCAGCCTAGTGGTGGACGGCGAACACCGGGCGTCGTTCATGAAAGAGATCGTAGATAAAATAGAAGCTCGACGATGAAAACACAACTCTGCTTTTGATATTACACCCGATTCTGATTACCTTCTTCCATAATTTTGCCTTTTCGAACGGTTGTAGATGAGAATGGTTTTTGTTGAAGCAAGATGAGAGATGAATGAGTGTATGGATCATTTAAGGTGTGTACTAGTTACACTAATTAAAAGAGTAAAATATAAACAATGACATAACAATTTCTTTCAAGAGAAATCAAATATTTTTTTTATAATTTCTTTCTGCTTATCCTTTTATTTATTAAATCAAGACAAATTAAGATAGATAATTAATTGTATCCACGTGTCATAATCTTATATGATATGAAGAATAAATAGGAAAAAAAAAATAAAATAATATTTAATTTTTCTAACAAATATGACATGACAAAAACAACCTATAAACCCTTCCAATTTCCACAAAATGATGTATTAAACCCTTTATGACCTTAGATTACCGAAAAATAACAACCTTTAAACAAAACAAAAATAAGATCTTGTAGGGCTATGATGGTCAACAAAAACAATAAAATTCGTCATATATGGAGTTTAACCAAAATGATATTAGGCGTAGATTGGACTTTTGGATATGGCCGACTTCCTGGTAGCATCCAGCAAGATCCGTGGAGTATCTATCTAAACATAATTTAACATTTTTTTTCGCGTTTCAATAATCTTGGATCTGCAATCTTTCGCCAAAAATTCATCAGCCAAGAAGAATAATTTCCAAGTATCTGAGTTCGCCGCTATCCTCTCGACCTAGGGCTTCCAATCCTTTCCGTTTCAGAAGGGGATCATTCAAAGATTACCACCCAAAGGGAAGGAAAGAGACCAAATGTATGCCCCTTTACGACGCGTCTCTTTATGTCAACGTTAATTTATTTTGCAATCGCCGTAATGTTTCAGCTATATATGATTAATTCAACACCTCTATTGAATCAGGGCCTATTGATCTTTCCTCCTTTGGTGAAATTAAATCGATGTTTCTTGTTGGAGCACTGCTACGTTTTGGATTTGTAACAGCTTGGCTCTTTCACCTTGTTGCCTGTATGGGGTACGTTGTTTCATTCCATCAATTTCTGGAGTTTTCTTCTCATTCATCTTTCTGCCGATTGTTTTTTTTTTTTTTTTTTTTTTTTTTTTTTTTTTTTGCACATTTA